AATTTTTTTATTCTTAAGTCCATGCCAATATTGAAACAAAATTGTTTTTTTCAAATAGTTACACTAATCATATACACTTTTTCTATTTTATTTTTATATTTTTTTTTTTTTTTTTTTTTGTCAGTAACTGGTATCAGACTTTGATGAAATTTTTTCTTTAGGTCCCCAATGTAAATGTATAAAAAGTAAAGGCTGTTAAATGCCAAACAAATTTCAATAAAAAAAAAAAAATAATGATGTTTTCATTGTATCATGTTTCTTCGGGCTTCCGTACATTTGAATTACAGCCAGTTTTATGGACGTAAAAGGCAAGGAACAGTGGGATTTTTCTAATGGAGGCTTGTTGATTGTAAAAAGCTAGTGCAATTTATAATCTGTACAGATACATTTACTTAATAAAACCATTATATATAAAAATTGATTTTCCACTAATTTTACAATATTTGTTTTAATGTAAAAATAGTTTTAGAAATAGAAAAATTTTTTAAAAATTCATTTTTCATTAGGTGTCTGATTGGGACCCTAAAGAAATATTAAAAATATTCAAAAGAAAAAACAACTAAATGCATTTAAAATTAAATAATATCTCTGTTTTATTGAGTTTTGTTAGGTACCTCCACGAAATCGCTAAAAAAAGAGCATAGCTTGATGAAAAAGACGCCAACCTTGCCGAAAATAAAATTTTATTGTCTAAATGCTTATGTTATTATTAAGAGGAAAGACCAAAGTTTTTTTTTAATTATTTTTTAAAAAATTTTCCTTCTTTTTAGAACATTCTAAATTTTGATTAAAAAAAACTTTTTTCTATTTGTATCAGCGGAACTAGTAAATAACATAGACAATTTTTAGCACTTTTTTTTTTGGTATGACACACATTAATTTGAAAAATCGTGCAAAAATAGAAATAATTATCGGATGTTAATGAAACTTTCAGGAACTATTCACAGATGATCGAAATTATTATAAATATGTTTTTTTATGAAAGTCATGGTAGAAATATTTTAAAAAAATATTTATTACCCCCCATAACTAATTTTATGAAAACGCTAGAAATTCGATCGCATCGGTTTTAGTGATTACAATAATTAAAAGCACAGGGCTTTGAGGAATGCAAATCATGTTTTTTTTTGTTTTTAATTGGATACGCAGTACCTGAAAATCAGCTCTGAATTGTAACATACAAAACTCAATAAAACAAAGATATTATTTAATTTCAAATGCTTTTATTTGCTTTTAGTTGTTTTTATGAATATGGACAATATTTTTTGAAAGCAAAAAAATTTTTTCGATGAAAAATGAATTTTTAATACAATTATTTGTTATTTCATTAATTATAATAGATTTTACATTTAAGTTGTTAAAATATTATAAAATTAGTTAAAAGCCGCATCGGCTTTCATAAGTGTCCTTATGAGATAGATCTTTTTTTTAGCGCGTTGTAAATTGTATCATTTTGACTAATCAGAAGATCCCCAGTAATTAAGAAATGTAATTTTGTGCTTATAATCGAGCTGTAATTATAAAATACGGAAGACCAACCAGAATATAATTAAGTTGCGTTATTTGAGTTAAGCATTGTTCTCCGCTGTTAAGGCCTTTACTTTTGCGAAACACGTGTGGAGAAGTTAATTTGATTTTTCAATTTCAACTGAGAAGGGTACCTACAAGTATCAGTATCATCTTATGAAATTTATATGATCTTATTTTTATATTAATCTCAGTTACGACATTTTTCCATAAATGAAATATCAAAATTAATAATAAAATGAATGCAAAACAAATAACAGTAGAATGTAATAAATGTACATAAAATTATAGTATTTTATGTACAATTCTGATAAAATTTCATAAGAAAGGTACCTATAAATTAATTAGATACCTTTCTTAAGAAATATGAAATTTAATGTCACTCTTAACAGTTTTATTTTAATTTCTTTACAATATATTTCCCATAAAGCATCATAAACGTAAAGGTGAAAGCTAAGTAAAAAAAAAAAAAAATTAGACCGCTGAAAGTTTTTCGTTAAAAATAACGGGGTAAATAATTTGTTCACGTAAATGTAAATTATTTCACTTTTCTCCTTCCGTAGAACAAATTAGCCTCATGGAATTCGTAAAAATATCATTCATCACATGTCAAGAGACGCGAAAGTTTATGACCTGCTTTGTTTTATTTTCAAATTACATCTTTTTGGCACAAAAGCTAAGTTAAGTTTGGTTCAAAATATTTTAAATAAACATTATAATTTCTGATTTTTCTTAAAATAAGTTTTGAAAAAATGATAATTGATATTTAAAAAAAATTTCAAAGTCAGATTTCCAGTTTTTTTTAAAATGAAAAAAAAAAAATGGTCAATTTTGCTGACTCAAAAAAAACTAGATTTTTTAACGAAAATTTCGGATGTGCTAGGAACGATTAAAAAATGGAAAAAAAATACCCCAAAAATACTTTGACCTTTCCTCTTAATAATAACAAACATTTAGACGATAAAATTTTGTTTTCGTCAAGTTTGGCGTCTTTTTCATCATGCTATGCTCTTTTTTTAGCGATCTCGTGGAGGTACCTAAGTTTTGTATGTTACAATTCAGAATTGATTTTTAGGTAGATGAGGTCCAATTTTTAAAAAAACAAAACCTGATTTACTTTCCTCAAAGCCTTGTGCTTTTAACTAATATAATGACTTGTGTGCTTCAACATTGAATTTCTAGTTTTCATGAAATTATTTGGTTTTTGGGGTAATATGGGGTAATATATATATATATATATATATATATATATATATATTTTATCATGACTTAAAAAAATAACATATTTATAATAATTTCCATCATTCCTGAATAGTTTCTGAAAGTTTCATTAAAATCCGACAATTATTTCTATTTTTGCAAGATTTTCCAAAATTAATGTCTGTCATTAAAAAAAAAAAAAAAATGGATAAAAATTTGCTATGTTATTTAGTACTTCTGCCAGCAAAGAGAAACAAAGGTTTTTTTTAATCAAAAGTTAGAATATTCTAAAAAGACGGAAAAAATTTAAAAAATAACTAAAAAATACTTTGTCTTTTCTCTTAATAGTAACATACACATTTTGACGATCAAATTTTGCTAAGGCCATTTTTATCATGATATGCTCATTTTCCTGTCATCTCATAGAGATACCTAAGTTAAATGAATTTTAATTTTTCTCTATTTACTTGATTGTAATTAAAATTTAATTGAAGTATTATTAATTCCAACTCTAAACCAAAGCAGCATGTCCATTACATTCTATAAATTGAAAATTGAAACCTATTTTACATAACTCTAAAAATGTAATTAAATACAGAAAATACATTAAGCAAAGTATAAATAGTTTTTATTTCTTTAGAGTTATGTAAAAATTGTTTTTCTGTTTATTTTACCCCTTTGCATGAAACAAGAATATTGAGTATTATTGTTCAATTTTAGCACAAGAAAGAAAGAAATGCTTTATAATTAAAAGAAATAAATTGGGACTTTGAGGGGTACACTTAGTCTATTATTAAATTTATACAAGGGAGGTAACTAGGTATTAGTATAATCCAATTAAGACAAAATTCTGGAGTTTTCTCAGGTGAAAGGGTGGCATCTATATAACTTTGAGCACATCTATTTTGTGTAGGAGGAATTATTAATACAAGAAACTTTAATACATTTTACTTTTTTTCGTTTTTAATTTTGGAAAAATCAACTTTCATAACCTTTTGGAATTTTATTCATTTTTTAAACAATTGTAATGAGCTTTTTCAATCTTTCTCTAAACCTGCACCTTTTACACAAAAATTACAATTTACTACATCGCGATATAAATGTTGAAAAAAAATAGGATTTAAAATTTTATCTTACATAAACAGTTAAAGTTAATGAAATCATTAACATTTTTATGATGGTTATTGATTTTTTTATTATTATTTTTTTATTTTTGTATTTATTTACTCCCATTTTAATTTGTTTTATTGTAGTTATATGAACAGAATAAACTGATTATATAAATAGTATATGTAATCATTAACTGATTAATGTATTTTTTCTAAATCAGTTAAGATTTTAGCTTGCAAAAAATAACTTTCTAGTTAGTTAGTTCTTAGTTGTTTTTCTTTTTATTCCAAATCCACTCATTGTAATATTTTCAAATTTGTATTTTGAAATGGCATTCTTTCCATTTTTCACAATCTATAAAAAAATCTATTACTATTTGTACCTTATGTTTAGAATATGGACAAAAAATAATAAATGACACACTTTTCACTTATTCACAATTTTGAAAGCTAAAAAATCAGTCATAAAAGTGAAAAAATGAGGACCAAGAATTGATTTTAAAAGAAATTTCCTCTTGCTTTTGTAACATTATTTGCATGGTGAGTAAATAAACATAGAATTAGCACTAAATGCCTGTTTTTTTCAGTTTTCTCATTTGAATTATTAGAAATCAATATGAAATTTTTATTTTTTTTTTTTTTTTTTTTTTTTTTTTTATGAACTTTTTATAAATGAAAAAAAAACTGAGATAAACTTTGAATATTGATTTCTAATAATTCAAATTCAAAAAAACTGATTTATTGAATTTTTCTCATAAAAATTTGTGTTGAATCTTAAATTTTGATGCCCATTTAATCACTGATGAATAAAATCCATTTCCTCTGTTTGTGTAATTCAAATTCATTAAGCATTTTTCCTTCCATAATTTTAATCATTAAGTAAAAAAAAAGATCTTTTTCCTAAATTATTTTTTTCGGACAATATTATTCCTTTAAATTATAAATCCACAAACAAAATTTTACTCATTAAGAAAAATTTTATTTTCATTTTTTTTTTTTTTTTTTTTTTCTTACAACAGCTTTGAATGCTTTTCAAAACTCATTTTCTATTTAATAAATACATAGAATTGAATTTTGTTCTGTTAAATAAAAATATAAACAGCAATATTTTGTTTGATATGTTTATGATTTATAGATTTATCTTACTTTTTTTGTATTTTGCAGGGGCAGTCTCGGCTTGTCAATCACATTCGTAGAAGCTATAGCATGAGTGATTTGTCTGATGATTATGTTGATCAGCCACGATCAAGGGACAGAAGTGGATCCATTCCTGAAAGCGAGGATGAACTTGGTAAGTTTTGATTAATAATGTAACCAAAATTTGTTAAAATCATGTTTGTATTTCAAAGAAAAATATTATTTTCTTTTATTATTTTTGTTGAGATTTTATTTATCATAATGATTTAATTAAAAAATTTTGCTAATGCTGCAATTTTCTCATTGAAACTTGAATAGATATCAAGTTCTTTGGAAGATAAATAAATAAAAATATATGCAATCTTACCTGCCAATAATTTAAAAAAAAAAAAAAACCACACAACTGAGAAGAAATCTGACAGACATACATACATACATATATATATATATATATATAATCAAGTCATAAAAGAAGGTAGAACTGTTTCATGAAGAATTTAAACCACAAACTTTTAAAATTAATGTTATAGAAATTAGAAATATTGAAATTCAAAAAATTTATAAATTTTGTGTATAAATGTTTCATTAAAAATGACTTTCAAGGTATTCCGTTATGCCTTAAATAGATCCTTTGTTTGTACTTAAAAAGAAAATCAATAAAAAAAAAGACTTAACAGAAGTACATTGTCAGTCATTTTTAATAAAACATGTATTAAAGAGTGATTGCTGCCCAAATATGCAAGTGTGTGGGTAAATTAAAAACACACAGTGACAGTGACTTCTTGACTAGTTTGATTACTGGTTTGAAAAAATCTTCTGAAATTTTAATTTACTATTTTTGGGTGTTATAACAGATAACTCAGAAATTCCCTTTCACATTAGTTTGGTCATGGTTTTCTTAAGATACAGGGTGTTTCATAATTGATCTTTAATTTTTCTTGCCTATTTTAATTTTTACTATAATTTTCATTAATGTATCTATCAACTGAAATTACTCTCACAGAAAAGCTGAATTTGCAATAAAATTACTTTGTTTTTAGTTTTATTTTGTGATTAGTCCTCAATACATGACATGGCTTACAGGTGTTGATATGTGGGATTTATATTCAGCTAAGATTATAAATCTTGATGTTTTAGGTACCAACTATAAAATGTCTTCAGTTAGTCATGTTTACTTGCCCACAAATGAACAAAGATTGAAATCAATCTTTATTAATTACATTTATTATTCACAAGAATAAAGTGCTAGAAGCCAGCTATCACATTATACCCAGAATGTTATAGGAGTTACAGGTAGAAATTTGTACAGATTCAGCTGTTTATAGAAGATAGATACTAATTTTGCTTTGTATCTTCTAATCTCATACATAATCTGCAGTGATAAAATAAATATTTCTGATGCTTACATTAATTTTTCTAGATTCTGTATCATGTTAGTAAGCATTCTGATCTCTATTTGTAAGAAATTTTGATGAAACAAATGGTATTAATGTATTGGATATAGCTAATTTGCTATTTTTGCAATGCCATGTCCTTTCAGGATGTAGTTAATCAGGGCTCTCTACAGATTCTTTTTTATTATTTAGGAATTCTTGGGGAAAGATAATGGAGCAGTTTCTGTTTTGCCTTCTCCATGGTTTTTAATTAAGAGTTGTCCTTCTCCCAGACTGGCTGCTTTCTTAAGCTTGGAGAGCCCAGCCTTCTCTTCTATTTAACCCATAACATGGGGAGAAGAGATTCATGTCTTTCACAAGGATATCATTACAAAAGTGAAGCTACCCTATTTTAAACTTTGTCTTGATGATTCTATTTCAGCACCATTACTTTAACTGCACATTCAAATTTGCTGTACCAGATCATCATTATTTCCATTCATTTTGTTAGTTTTTGTTTTTGATTTTTTTTGTTTTTTTTTTTGTTTTGTTTTTTTTTACATGCTTAAAACCTTTTTGCTTGTATTTACATAAAATAAAGTCTTATAGTGTACAACAGAGATTTTTTTTTTGCCTCTGTTGTTCAGCATCAAATATCACTGTTTAGAATGACAAATACGGTCAAATACTTACTTCCTTTCTTTAGTTTCTCTGACAAATTTGTTTTGTTTTTGTCCTTGTTGTCATCATTAGTCTCAGCGAATCAAAGAAGTATCCTCAACAGAAGAATAGATTCCTTTATTTAATTGTACTGTTAAGTGGCCATCAGGAAATTTCTGGTTATTTTACCTAATTATTCTTGATATTGGTTTTGAATTTAAATTTTAATCAGCTGAGATACAATAATTTTTTTCAAACTGTGTTACATTTTCCTTATTCTGTATTTTTAGCAAATCAATCTTTTTGTTAGTTTGGTTAAATGGTTTGTAATTTTAAATCTAATTTCCAAGATATTCGATGGAAACAAAAGTAGTAACTTTCTTAAAATATACTAAAAATTCAACTTTTGGTATGTTTCAAGTTACTCGTAATTTTTATCACCCAAATGTGTTATTGCACTCTAAAACTGATAAAAATTAGTTTTCTTAGATCGTCTGTGAAGTTTGTTTTCAAATCCTTTCAAATGGGATTAATATTTCATATTTCTACTTTTATTCTATTTCTCTAAAATGATGTTAAATTTTCTGATACTCATTTCACCTGACATATTGCTGAGTAGCATAAAATCCAAACTGTTAAATGAACCAAAAAATATTTATACTATTTAGTTTCAGGCTATTGAACCCAAACTATTTGCTCATTTTCTTCAAATTTATGCTATTATTCAAAAATCTTGAGGTATACATAATGCTAAATCTATTCAATCAGACACACACTTAGGTGATATGTATTTTTAGATACATGACTGACAAGGCAGATTTTTTCCCGCAGTAGGTTGCCATTTCTTTCTGTGGTCTGTCCTGCTATTTACCCATAGCTGGAGGGAGAAGAGGATTCATACCTTTCCCAAGGGTATTAGCACATAAGTGAATGCTCTCCAATTTCTCAATCCAAGCCGCTATCCATTATTCCACTGTTGCTATAAATCTGTTACAAACATTTATATTCAAAACTTTTGAGTCTCTCATGAAAACTTATGTAACTTTTATGCAATTTGTCTAAATATTTGTGATATTTTATATTTTTCTCATGTTAAAGCCTCATTCTTTGTAATTAAATCTGATCAATAGCAAATTACATATTATGCATCCAATTTATCGTATTCATTTTACTATCAATTTCTCATTTTTTTATTTTCTGCTCATTATAATTTGTTAAATTGTTTTCAGCTCCCATCTTTTCTTCCACTGAGATATTCTTGTATGTTATTTTTCAGACTCCACTCAATCTTATAGTAAGTTATCACCTTTGCTGCCTTTATTGTTTGCTGCAAAGTGTTAAGTTCAATTTTTTACCTCTTTAGCTCCAGCAATACTTAGTCTTGAAGCCTCTCTTTTCTAACCAGCAAAATATCAATCTTTCTTCTAACTTGTTGACTTCAACATGACTTTTGTAAACCTATCAATCAAATTTACATCTATCAATGTCTGTGTGTATGTATGTTATATATATATATATATATATATATATAATGGTGGTGGGGGTGAAAAGTTCTTAGCTCCGTTCACTTCTAAAAATCTAACCAAATGATTAATTGGGTATTAAGTTTCAAACCTATAAAATGATCTTACTTTTTGTTGATAATTCTTCTTTTGAATGGTTTAAATTATTACTCAATTATTCATAATTTTTTTTTTCTGCAGCCTTCATTCTGTTGCAAACAGTGTTATTTTAATAATTTTTATCTTCAGAAATGCAAATTAAGTTATTAGTCCACTGCATCAAAATCATAAAACTTTGATTATAGTAATAGTGATCATGTTTAGTACTTAAAAAAATGATTTTGTTGAAATAACTCTTTAAACTTCAAATTGTATTTCATCTGTTTGTTTTTGCCCATTTTATTTGATCATTAATTTATATCATCTTATTTAAATCAATCTTAAATATAGCACTAAAAAAATTCTTCACAAAATCTGGCCAAAAGATAAAACGTTGGGTTTGGGAGGGGGGGGGTCCTAAGAGCTTCGTGTTTGGGTGGAGAAAGTTTTTAGTTCCTCCTCATATATAAAATTCCTAAAATAACTAAGCGTAGTCATTTGAACATTTATTATTCTCGTTTTCACTTACAATATAATGTCTTTTGAAATAAAAATTATTTTGAACCAATTAAAACTGAAAAATGATGATTGGACTAAGATTGAAACCTTACAAATATTGATTTATTAATATAAACATTATACTCGGTCTAAAATATGGCTACATTTATGAAAAACATAGTTAGGATTTGATCATCTCAACAGAAACAACTTCCTGAGTGACAAACACTATGGATTTTACTCTTAAGTCCACTGCTGATGTCCTGTCATTACACACACAATCAGTGAGGCACTAGACAATGAATTCATCACCTTAAATATATCAAGTCTTTTGACAGAGTATGGTATAAGGGGTTGCTATACAAACTTTCCAGCTATGGAATCTCTGGAATATTTTTCACAATGATAAAGTCCTTCCTAACAGGTAGGTCCATGAAAGTTGTTGTTAATGGTCAGTCTCTTGAAACTCATGATATCTATGCAAGCGTTTCCCAAAGCTCTCTTCTTAGTCCTAACCTCTTTCTGCTTTATATTAACAGATATGCCTAAGGACATATTCAATTCATTAGTGAATATCTATATAAATAATACAACACAGTGTATATGGGTGCACCTCCATAAATGTAGATGATGAGAGCCTGGCAGCTGATCACCTCCGCTAACTTAGCTCTAATAGCTCTCAATGAGGGGAAAAACTAGCTTGTAACATTCAATACCTCCAAAACCAAACTGGTGACATTGTCACTGAGGAGACCCAGAATTCTTTCCTATCATGATGAACAATTGTACTCTCGAGAAGGCTTTTTGCTCTGGACGTCTATTTGAACTAAAGTTTACTCTAGACCACAAATGGAACTCATATGATCAATCGCTAAAAAGCCTGGTAAAATGATTGGTTTCTTGTACCTCTCCAGAAAGTACCTGACTCTGCCTACTATGCTCTATCTTTACAAGAGCCACTTCAGACAAAAAATGGTGTACTACTTCTATATCTGAGCTTAAGCTGCTCAATTTTTGCTTTTCATCCTTAATAGTGTTCAAAAGCATCTACGCAGTCTTGTGGAGGATGAATTATTTTCCACTTTACAACCCCTTTCCCACAGATGAAATGTTGCAAACCTCTCCCTACTTTATTTTCCATGGAAAATGTTCTGACAATCTACATTCATTAGTTCAACCAGTTTAGACCTTCACAGCTAAAACCTACTATATCACATACACTGGAATTAATCATTCCTATCCCCTTTTTATTCAAGTAGTAAGAAAGAATTTCCATTCAAACAGCTTCTTCCTAAGAACTTTGTGAAATAGACTCCCAAGTGGATGCTTCCTCGATCACTAGAATCTTAATCTCTTCAAGTTTTAAGTCGGCCATTATCTTTCCTACATATACATAATACAATCTCATTCAGTAACCATATTTCTTGAGTAGCTCTTGGGCCTTGTAGTGTGTGAACAATTTATAAAAAAAAAATTTACTAAAGTTTGTGAGACCAGAAAATTAATCTTACCACTTCTACTCTGTGCTCAAAGACATTAGCAAAGATAAGTTTCCACTGATTTCTACTTCTACATATGGCCCAAGTCCTTGTTGGAATTGGTAGTTTCAAGTATAATTGGACAAGAATCTTTTGCTGTATCATGTCTTTTGTTTTTTTTTCTTTTCTCCTCTCTCTCATTTTATATGGTGCCATGCTGATGAAAAGTATATTAATATGTAAAAAAAAAAAAAAAAAGTTATGTAGATAAAAAGGTGTTAAGTCAACACTTTTGTGGGTACAAAAATATAACCAGCTTTTTTGCAACCTCACAATGACAGTCTCTCATAGTTTACCTCCAGAGATCCCTTTGTGATCACATTGTCTATATTGTGTAATTTCTGGCTTTTAACCCATTATCTCTTCATTTTAGGCATTTTCATTTGAATTGCTAATGTTATCAACTGATCTAAATAACATATAGTACTCCCACCTTCCATTATATTCTAATGACACATCTCAAACCACTTTTGTCTTAATCTAGAAGTATTAAAAAATCCTAAATTCTTATTCATATTGACTTGATATATTAGATTATTCAGCTTTAACTGACATGTATGTGAAGTGTTGAGTTCCTTTTCTGCATGACCTAATTTAAATAGTAACAAAATGGAAAAAAATATTTTAAAATGCTGACATTGATGTTATTTGAATGTGCATTCTTTCTCTTTCATATGTTTGCATTTGGAAGTGTTTTAATGTTAAAATTGTTTGTTTTATGAGATTTTATTTACCACTTTATCAGATGTGTGAAGTTTTCATTGTTCATTGAAATTTATTAATTTTTTTTTTTATTGATTTATGAATTGCTTTTCTAATATTCTCTAAAAATGCCAGCACTCTGATATCTTCCTCTTAAATCTGTATTCTGAAAACTATTTTTGATGATACTTGAAATCCTTGAAATAAATCCTTATTTGTAAATAAATATATCATTTTTATGGTTTTGAAAGGAAAGTAAAATGTATTCTATTTAGAATTTTTATTTGTTCTTTGAATCTGGAATCTTTTTAAGATTTTCATCTGAAAGTATAATTAAAGAATTGCTTTGTATTTTTTATATTTAAAAAATATGAAACACATTTTGCTGTAATAGTATAACTAGGTCTTTTTTCCTGAGTCTGTTGTCTTTTAGAATAATTTTGGAAATGGTAGTCATTAATTTGAACACTTTTCAAAAAGCAATCTTCAAATGACCCTAAAAATTAATCAAAGGAAAAAACTTTTGTAAGCTTTGACTTGTTTTAATATTTACATTTTAAAAACAAATCGACTCAAATGATGCAAAAGCAAACTTTTTTAATAACCATCAAGATAGATTTAAAAGCTATGGCATTAACAAAACACACAACACGTGCAATGGAAAACAGGTTGAATTTACTACTGTCTTGTGATTTGATCAGTTTTTGGCATTCTCATTTTAAAATCACTCCAGTTTTGTCTTCAAGTCTAATGAATTGGTTTTGCTTTTCCAGTAGATTTTTTTTCAAAGTTTAATTGTCCTTTCCATTTGTTCTTCATTCCTGTTAGATTTGTATATTTTCTCTGTTTATATTAAATAGGCTTGTTGTGCTATTGCTTAAAAAAAAAAAAAAAAAAAACCTACAGGATTGCACACATGTACACACAAATTTTATCAAAAGCTACATCTGCTAATCACATTTTTTGTTTGCCTTTTTGATAAACAAAGATGAATTCAATTCACTTAAAAAGAAATTGTTTTTAGTTTAATTTTTACAAACTTTTTAAGTAATAAAAAACTTATTGTACCTTACTATTTCTATCTTGTATGTTGTGTGGATTGTATTGCTAATTAATTCTGTAATTTTCTTTTTTTTGTGTGAAATTTAAAACTATTCATTATTAGCAATATGTTTTGCTGTGTTTTTTTGTTTTTTTTTCTGCAACTGACTTTAGCATCTTCCAAGTTTATTCCTTTCTTTTATTTGTTTTTGAAAATAGATAACCGGTTGATAGAAGATAACAAGGAATTAGAGAGCCGAAAAAAGGACCATGATCCACATTATGTGCCAGAAGACAAAGAAGATCTGGCAAGCACCAGACAAATTTATCACACAAACTCTGCTTCCAGTAGACTAAGGACAGGTAATAAGAGATCCATTGAGCTGAATTTTTTTTTTTTTTTTTTTTTTTAACTTGGATGTAAGAAAATTATAAAATGTATTTTATTCTTATCCTAACTTTTATTTTTAAATCTAGAAATTGTTTCAGAGGATTCAATAAGCATGTTTATTATTGAACCTTTATTAGTTCAGAAAGAAAACACTATCATCATAAAAGAAATAGCACTTGGATGTGCCAATGTATTAGGAAACCTTTTACTTTCAATGATATGAGATTTCTTTTCACTTTAATCTATTTTTTAACATTTATTTTTTTATTAAAAACGTTAAAAAAAATTGTTTTTCAAGAATTTATTCTTGACTAGTCAAGCACTCATCCTACAGACAAAGGAAAGTAAATTGTAATAGTTCTTAATGTTTTTATTATTATAGTAATAAAATTAATACAACAGATTAGTTTCACTTATTAGAATAACTTTTTTCTTCAATCAAATATGAAAAAGTTATTTTGTTTACATCTCTTTCAATTAAATCCAATTAAAATTTGATATATTTAAATAATTATTTTAATTCTTTTTATTAAGTTAAAATATTGTTTGTATTATTAATAATAAGATTAATTTATCAATCTTACTATTTTGTCACTTGTTTAAATAATTTGGTACAGTGTTAAGAAAATTTCATTAAACAGATTATTTTGACTTATTTAGATAATTTTTTCCTTTGATTCCAGTCAATGGGTAGTAATGTGATGGCAGACAACAATAGTTACACTGAAGGAAATAAGATCATTATTAATGTTGCTGGGCCTAAAATTTTATAAAACTGAATATTTAAAAAAAATTACTTTGCTTCTTAAAATTAAAAAAGTTATTTTTAAAAGCTAAGATTGTTTATTTTACATTTTCTTTAAATGTAAACACTTTTTTGCTAATTTACTACTGAATCTTTACAAGTTAGGTATAAATTCTTTTGATATAAACATGATAAATTTAAAATAAAAAAGAAATTTATCAATTGAAACATTGCTTATATAGCAAGTTTTTTCTGGATTAAAAATAACACAGATAAAAATATTTTAATAAATATTTTTTTTTAAAATTATGAAAATTAAATGTTATAGTTTATGTTGTAAATGATATATATATATATATATATATATATATATATATATATATATAAACTAATAGGAAAATGTTTAACAATGGGGTCTGTTTTATTTGACTCATGTAAGGTAGGAGAATACACAATTTAGCCTTACACAAATTTATAAAAAATCCTAATTAAATTATTGGATTGTTTAGCAGTCATCAAAATTTTATTTGATAATAAAAAACACTTATTTAATTAATTGCTATTGTTATTTATCACTTATCTGCCAATGTGTATGCATATTATAGATTCTTTTTGTGAAAGATTTACATTGGTTTAGAATCTAAAAAAAATTGCAGTGTGCTATTTTTAAATCCTTGTCATTTAGAAAACTCTGCACTGTGCAGCTGTGTGCATTACATTGTGGTATTTATAATCTATAAACAGGTTTCACACCAACAACAAAACAGGCTTTGTCTTTGTTATCTATGTCTAACTTCATTTGCTTGTAATATTTATGTAGAGGCACCACTTTCATCTTCTGTGATGGTGGTGTACAGTTATGTGTGAATGCATCTAAATACTGATTTTGATTGTCATCCATCAGTAAATGTAGCTCTTAATTTCAATTTAAAGTTTAGAGACTTTGCTCATTACAACCAAATGAGATATGATAGTAAACTGAGTGTAATTAAACTGATGTGCCCTTTCTTGGTTACTCAACTGTAGATTGACTACTATAACTCATATTAATTTACCTCCAGTGTTTGTTCAGTGTTTTTCCAATGTTTCAAATTTGTCATGATAGGATTTGAAGAACTGCTCATGAGGTGTCATACAGTCAATAGTTCCTTCTCTGAACTCCTGTTTAATTCAGTGCATCAATTAACCTCAACTGAGAGCCTAAATTTGAAATCATACAGCACACACATTCTTAACTGCTTGCAGGAAATCCTTTTTACTTTGGTGGATGAAACTTATGGTTGTTAAAATTGAGTTATTCACCACAAAATTAAGTGCATTGGCAAGGAGATTATATTGAAAAATATTTGTTGTATAAAATGAATGCCTTTTTCATCATTACCAATGTGTATAAAATATTTTTCATGCATAATTATAGTGATACTTACTGTTGACTGACTGAATATTTAAGCCTATTATTTCTAAAAGAGAAATTTGTGTAAACAAATCAATCATTTTTATAATAATGAAATCACTTCAGGTTCCAGTGAGAATAATTTTTATTTCTGATTTTATTGGCCAGTGAATATTGACTATCTTCTATCTTTAAATTGGATCTAACATAAGTTGTGGAAGACAACATTTTTACCAAATGCTTATGTCTGATTCTAGCCGTGTGTGTGTGTGTGTGTGTGTGTGTATATATATATATATATATATATCGGTTTGTTTGTGTTTTAGTTCTTTTAGTTTGTCTTTTGCTTTTTGAAATTAATTAACTTCTTGCATCATCAATTACTTTTTTTTACTAATTCATAATAGGTGATAAAATGGCACTCAGTAAAAACAAAAAATCTTAATTTTCTTCCTTTTTAAAGAACCTTAGTTAATTGAACTTGTAAAAAAATTTTAAAATGCTTGATGCATTAATATAAATCTTTCACTTTCAGAATTTCTGAAAAAAGCACAAATCCTAAAGCTTGAACTTTTTTTTTTGTTTGTGATATTGTTCATACAAATTTTTCAGAAATTCCATTTGATTTTCCATTACTAAAGTATTGTGAAATATAAGGGATTTATTTTTTGTACTTTTAAAAAAAAAAAATGACATTTTAATAAAAAAAATAAACTACAAAGCAGTCACAAATGTGTATAATTCTAAATATATAACAACCTTTTAAAAATAATGAATGCTTCAAGCATGGCAATAATCAGCTTAGGCTGATTAATCTTTTTGCAAGTAATAATGATTTTGAATAAGGTTCTTATGTATAACCTGACAGAAAGGGTGTGCTACTCTTTATGTGAGTAATATCATACTCTTTACTTTAACTTTCTCTCAGAAGTTTGTGAAACTTCTCATTTTTGCTAACTTGAATTTATATTAAAATATAAGAATTTTACTGTTTTGAAAAAGAAAAACAAATTGAGTTTTTCAACTGTTGGACACTTCTTCCTGTCCTTAATATTGAATAAGTATTTTGACTAATGTAAATAATGGCTTAGTGGACAAATACTATATTAAAAATATATATTTTTTATTTTAATTCAAAAATATTATTTAAAGTAACAATTTCACATTTAAATTGAACATAATTGAATCAATTTTAAATTATCCTTGTTACTCTGACTTGAGAGCTGTAAATCAAACAATTGCAATATTTATTTCTTCATTGGTAACTAATTGTCATTTATGTTATATAAACTCCATACAAGTAATGTTGAAATTTCCTGAAACATTTCTTTCCATCATATTAAACTACTTAGTACTGATAATGCATTTACACTATATATTTTTTATATGCATTATCCTTACTACTATCCTTATACACCTGCTTACCATTTTTCTTTAAAACTATAAAAATTCTGTATAAACAACTTTGATATTTAAAACAAAATCTTTGTATTAACTTCCAAACAAAAAATATATATTCATTTCATAACTTACCTAACTTAAATTGTACTGAGTTTATTGTATATTTTTATTAACTGTTTACTCACTTTATAAAAATATTTTTAATGTTCTTCTAAAATACTTGAATATGTGTTTACACCTGATAATTCTATAAATTTAGACAGTTGTACATGAAAAAATAAACTTTATTTGTTACATACCATTTATGAGGAGTTTATTGCATTTAGTTTTTGTGTATATTACATCTTGAATTGCAGATTTCTGAAAACTTATGGACAAGTTGGTGCATGTTAATGTTTGACTCATGAAAGATGAGTGGATCTACTGGTTGTATCGTCCAAGAAATAAAATTTTCACATTCAAATGTTGATTCAAAACACCAAGAAATTCTTGAAAAAAATTTTTTTCTCTAACTGTAATAAAAATATTTAGCATCCACATATCAACTCTTCCTGTTTCTATTAATATTTTCTTAAATTTTTATTGGCCTATTTTTTCTTGTCATTTGCTGAAACAAAGATTATTCTACATTCTTAACTGTTCCAACGTTTTGTCTATTTTTATTGGCAATAAAAAAACAATTTTTTAATAATTTTGATTATGATGAGCATAAAATTGCAACTGTAATACATGATATACAACAAAAATGATGTTAATTTTTTATTTTTCATTACTTAGGATTATACAGTGTTCCTGAAGAAAGTAGTCCCTCATCGTCTTCCCTGACTAAGCCCTACACTTTAGGTTCATACAGTAGCCGATATAGTAGTACCACTGGCTATGACTTGCGTAATTTGACAAAAAAGGAGGTAAGCATGATTTTCTTTCTTTTTCAGCTTTATTCTATTCTTGATTTCATCAAATCTTCGTTAATTCTATTTTTGGTCTAACAATCTACACATTATATAAACATGATTTCATTAAATTAATTACATTTTATTTTGATTTAAATATTACATGAAAAGTAAGACAAAAGAAAGAATCCCTATCCAAAATGGGATAATTTGTTACTCCAGTGCATAATAAGCATATTTTAAAAAAATTTATTTCCAAATTTTTACTGTTGATTTTAGAATAAGTCGACAGTATTATAAGAAATAAAATTCAAATTCTACCCTTAAAATTTTTTTATAAAATTGGCTTAAAAAAAAAAATACAGAATAGGACCAAGAAATTATTTAATGATAACATCAGTTTGTGTTATCAGCGAAGATATTCTTTGTTCATTATCTTTTTTTTAATGGCATATGAAGGGTTTCACTGCTGAAATATAATGTAATTTCTTCCTACTTTTCACAGTATTTTTCTTTTTAATCTTATGGATCAGTAATATTAAAAGATTGAGTCCAATAATAAAAATAAATGTCTAGTATTTCACTAATCCTGTTTAGCAACCACTTAATTGGCCAAAAGTATTACTCAGTCACCACTGATTTTAATTTATTTTACTATTCTGCAAGCAATCAAGAATGACATTCAGAACACAGCAAAACTCTCTAGTAAGTTAAATGCCATGTCCACTTGATGCTACTTTGTTTTCTGATGATCTAACTGCCAATATAAGCCCCACTCTCAATCTTCAGATTAATTTGATTGAAACGAAGAAAAAAAATAATTTTCACATTTCCTCTATTTCATTGACAACTGCAATCTTTCTTGCCTGCTTAATGGTTATCTCTGGTTATAAGTTGATTAAAATTTATAATTTGTATAAAACTCATTTATTTTAACAGGCTACTTAATCAGAAGGCAAATATTTTAAATAATCTAAAGTGTTTTTATATCTGACTAAAGCATGACAGAGTACATTACAATACCAAGTAATAAATAAAAATAAATATTTCTGATGTGTATTCTATAATATAAAACAGAATGGGGCTGCATATATTTGATTACACAGCCTAATCACTCTTTCTTAATTATATATTCCCTTGTTATAGTAACAAAATGCATTATTCAAGATCAATAAACAAACAGGCTTTGTGTAACCCAAATCTCATTAGTAAGTAGGGGAGATTAGGCTGTTTATTTCATTACTTTTAATTTCTTTGGTTTCAGGTTTACTTTCTTGGGATATTTTTACTTTTTGTTAAAAAGCAGAATTCTTTTCTACATTTGGCAATAAAGTTAATTGTATAGATAAAAATTCAATTACTCCTGCAGAAAATGCAACTGCAAAATTACACAAAATTTTTACCATTGTTTTATGCTGATACAGTTAAACTATTAAATATAATAACAATATTTAAAATGTATTTTAATTATATTTTTTTTCAAAGTGGATTTTGACTAAATTTTTCAGTCCTCTTAGGCCTATTGATTACTATTGCGTAAGTATTTATAAAACCACATCTTCAAAAATGCATATTTTTGACAAATTGTTCATAGACTTGTAAATTCTGTAAAAATCACTTTATTAATCACACTACATAAATTTTTCTTAAATATCTATATTTATTATCTTGTATATTTTATACTGACAGTTACAAGTTGAAGTTGAGCTGCAGAATTTTTCACACATCAACTATTGACTTTATTATTTCAATATAATAGGAAAATCATTGTAATTTATAAAATACTCAATGAGTATACCTTTTTAAATATTTTCTGAAAAATTTTATATATTACATTGTCAGAAGTAATTTCTGTTTTTGAAAACCAATTGTAATATTTTGAAGAACAAAATTGATAAACAAAAATGGAAATTATTTATGACTCAACCATATGCATATTTTCAGTGGACTCAGTTTCTCATCAGTTTTTTTAATAAACTTTGAATCACATGCCAAGAAAATTAAATATTAGTTTCATGAGTGCAATTCATCTAATGTTCATAAAACTCTTTATCTTTGTCTAGATTTTTGCTCTTTATTTTTTCCATTAATATTTTGAAATGTGGTTTACAATACGAAGTTCTGTTAGCAGTCAATTTGAATATTTTAACTTTATTTTAAAGTTAAATATAGCTGAAAACATTCAAATAATTGAAGTTTTCTCTTTTTTAAATTTTATTTTGGATATAGTGATGGATTTCATTTTTCAATTTTAATTTGTAATCTAAAAGATCATTTTTGTTTTTAATTTTTATTTCTCTCAAGAAATATATTGCTCATTTAAAAAGTTTGATAAAAAATATACTTCAAGATTCTATATCTTAAATATTTGAAGAATTACTATTTTTTTTTTTTTACTGAAGATTTTATCATAGGTTAGTGACTTTAAACTCCTACAGTTAGCTGCTTTTACGTGTGATAGAAAGAATTTATTAAATTTTTCACCTCCTTTTTGGTAAAAGGTACAAGATAAAGTTTTTGCACTAATTTCTTTACTTTTCTGATGTAAGGCTAATGTGTTACTATAGAACTGAAGAAGACAGTTACATTAAAACTCTATTTTCCTTATGTATATATCTATAACAAAAATGATTAAAGATGAGTTATATTTTCTTAATCTGTTGTACCCAATGCCTCTAACATCTATGAGGATGCTTCAAATAGACAAGTCATCATGTCTAAAAGTTAATATTTTAGGTCTTAATGTAATTTCATTAAATAATAAGCAATTTACTTAAAATGAGAAGCAGCAAGTCACAGATTTTATTTTATGCTTTTCATCACTTGAAATTTCATTAAAAATTAGATAGAAAATGTGTATTTCTTTAAATTTATAATTGTCAAAAATTGTATTGTCTTAACCAAAGTAGATGAATGGATAACAAGTGATAAGAAATTTGTTTTCAAACAAATGTATAAGAAGCTCATAAAATATGGGATAATTATATAAATACTTATAATTGTATTAATCTTTCATGTACTCAAAAGGATGTTAGAAATGAAACTGAAACAGTTACTGATAAAATATCAAATTAAAAATTGCAGTTGATTTTTTTTTTTTTTTAATCATAATTACTGAAATTGTGTTTTATTTTTGAAACTGCTCCGTTAGGGACATCTCAATCTTTTTATTCTGTAGTTAAGGATATGTATGTCAGTTTTGAGGAAATAATTTGACACAAAGAAAAATCCTTCTGCCCAATGGTATTTGATGTGTATAGAGACATACAACAAACTGATTTCCTTGGAGTGTTAACATAAATGCCAATCTCTAATTAAATGTGCACATTAAGTTATATCTTGGATACAGTGGGTTAATCTTTTTATATGTATAACAATGCTTTTAATCAACAGTATTCATACAAAGGATTGTACTGAATGAAAATGTTTATTAACTGCTTCATTGAATGTTTAAATTCTAGTAGCTTTATTCAGCTTTGTATAGTATGCTGCTGTTTTTGCTCAGTTTACTTTTGTTTGTTGTTTACATTTGCTGACCACATGCTTTTGTTTGGGGGAGTTTTGTGCTCTTGAGATTTACTAAATTAGGTTCATTTTTGTTCCAAAAATATCTAACCATTATTCAAATGCTTTAAAAAGAACTGAAGCTGTGTTGAGGACTTGTTTCTTAATTTAGAGACCTTTAGAGCATGTATCAAGATTTCTACAAATGATGCATGAAGGTCCCAGATAATTAATCTAACAATTTTTGAAGGTCCAGATTGTAATTTTAGAATTTTACAACTTGTAATCTAATAAAAATTAAAGAAGAAAAATTAGGCCAGAGCTTTACTTAATATTTTTATTTAAATAAATCCTATGGTATCTACCTTTTTTTCTCTTTCAGATGCAATGAATTTCATACAGCAAGCATACAAAACATTCATTTTCTATTTTTTTCAATTTGCACTTTGTTCAAGGTCATGGAATTGGTAGATGTGAAAATAGCCTCGTCCTGATTTAAGATTTCTCAATAGTGGAATGATTTTTTTCTTTTTAGATTATGAAGATATGGGAAAAACCAAAGTTGATATTTTCTCTCAATTTGTCAGTGGGCTTTCTCCCCACTGACACAGTTGATTCTGGATTTTGCTCTTTTTCTCTTTTTAAGAGCTGATTTGTTAGGTGGTCAGATGTCAGGTTTTTCAGCTACTTTTGTTCATATCACATTGTGTCATAATAAACAAGCAGCAAGATAAATTGGAATTATTACCCCCAAAATACTTAAACCACATCAGTTTTATTTCCTTTGGGACATGTAATATAAAAACAACTGTTGAAAAGGATATAAAGCATTATCTTTTGCTTATTTCTAATAATTCTATAATGATTCAGCATTAAAAATTGTCATGTGACTATGAAATGTGTCCACATAATAATCTTGTATCTGACCACTTTGTATTTCTCACCTCACCTGGTCAGCTCTGAGAAAGAGTTTACTAGAAGCATCCTTCTTTACCACCACTGCTTACATAATTTCTAATGCTTATACATGTTTATGGTTCTATTAGATATGATTGATTACATGAGGAACTTTGTAAAAACCTGATTCAATAGCTTATTAGTTAAAACTAACTATTCATAACACAAAGCCTACTTACCTAGAAGATCTTCTGACCTTTAAATTGATGGTTCTGAGCCATCTTCTGTATTCCCTAAGCGGTGGTGGAACTGATTGGTTATTGGCTGATGTGTACAATAAACTTTATTACTCTTCTCTGCAGGTCCGCAGTTCTTCCTATCTTGGCTATCCCAGCTACAGCGGGACAGGTTCACTTCCCCGTCACCGCTATTCCTGGTCTTCTTCCGACTATAGCCGCACTTGGAAACATTAAGCACTACTACTACTACCACCGTCACCTATTTCCCACTTCCGCTGATATCCTGGGATTACTAATTCTATGTACTACTTCACCTCTCTACTTTGTCTATTCCATATTTTGTATTTGTTTTGTTCTTACCATATATGTCTAGCATTGCAGCAGCAGCAGCAACAACAAATACCAGTATTGATTTTATCTTTGAACACTAATATTTTTTTTTTTTTTTTTTTTTTTTTTTTTTTTTTCATTTAATCACAAGTTGTTTTTGTGTGGTGATTATATATACTTGGAGAAATACCTGTAATTTCTTTGTGTGTTATTTTATTCCAATCCAGGTTTTCATGAGAAAATCTGTTTGAAAATAGTTATTGCATTAAGGGATTTTATAGATTTTTTTATGTCTGTCATAGTCCAAATATCAAAACGGATATATTACAGAATGCATCATATTAGAAGAACTTAAATTTCCTGCCTATTATAATTTTTAAATTCTAGCACTAATACAAATTGTCAAGAAACTACAATGCTGCGTCACACTTTAATTGATCCCATGGTTGTAAAACATTACTTCTTTTTCACAAGTAAATATTAAAAGTATTAAAGTTCTAAATTGCCAATGAATATTCTCCAGAATAATTACAGACTTTACCTGGTACTAATTAGAAAAAGGGATACCTTTTTATAAATTAAAACAAAAATTTGCCTTCTGTTTTCACAAAAAAATTGATTTGTTTCTGAACTAAAGAAACCTGTATTATTTTGAAATTTATTTTCATTTTCTTCCTTTCAAATTAAGTTTTTTAACTTTTACTTACATCAGCTTATGGTTTCCATCATGGATTACAAGTTCAGTGAAAATAAAAAAACATGCAAAAGTTTTTACAGCTGTGCCACTTGATTTTTAATCACTCATAATTTTTTTATTTAATGTTTTAACAGGAAAAATGTATTTAAATTTACCTGAATTTCATTTTCATTTTTTGAAATAAGTAAATTTGATTTTAATTTGAACAATTTCAAGAAGAAATTTTGAAACTAGTTCACTGTTGCTTACATCATATTATTATTGATTTTTAACTTTAAAACTTACATTATTTTAAAATTTGTTTGAATTGTCAAGTTGCTCATTAAATTAAAAGCAACAGAAAATAAGCATAAACAACTGTTAAAAAATAGTTTTTATGAAAAGAAAATATACTTTTTCACATGTGATAAGGAAAATGATTTAATTATTCCAGTATTAGAACTTGTTTCTTTTAATTGGTCTCTCAAAATTCTATATTTAACTTGTAAGATTTAAAGAAATATAGATGCACTCCTTTTTAACATAAAAGTGGCATCTCTATAAGCAAATAATCTGTTATTAATCATAATAGAAAAATTACTCTGCTGCTGCTGCCATGACATTGTTACAAAACATTCCATTAGTATTTGTGTGGCTTTTTTCTTTTTTCATCTGAATGTTGTGCTTTGTTTCCTCTTTCTTTGGAGTTGTCCTCAAATTTTTGGAGTGTCTGTATATTGGTCACTGGTTTGCATATTCCTTTTCATCTCAAATTCTTTAGATAATTTGTAAGATTTGAAGAAATATAGATGCAATTTATTGTAAATATTTCTTTTTATTTTTTCATTTCACTTTTTTAAATATCTTATTTTTGCCACAACTGATGTGTATGACTGATGCTCTTGTCCTAAAAGCATCAATTCCATTTGTAATACTTGAGAAGCTGTTTTTATCAACTCATTCTGTGCTAGTTATAATTGGTGGTCAATAAATGAACCTCAGTGATGTTCTTGCCTCTACTGATTCAACATTTTAACTCAGTAGATAAGTAATGCAAATGATTTCAGTCTTTAATAGGGGCTTGGAGGAATTCTCCTTGTACAGTTTGTGTGTTTATACACACATGCATGCACACATTCTCCCTATCTTTCTACAGATACCTGGAAAAAATTAAAGGCAAGAAATATATTTTATGTGAATGTTGAGTTGTCAAGTTATGAAAGTCCTGTGTAATGTTAACCTTGCAAGTGCTGTAACATTAATGAAATATATATAAACATCTATAAACAGTATTAACAGGCCTTTTGTATCAAGTTGATTTTCTGTTTCTAATGTTCAGCTTGACTGGTGTTTTAAACTAATGTTAGTGAACACCACAACCATTGCAAAAATTAAGAAATAAAACAAATGCCTTGAGACAACTGTAAACAAAGCATTTATAAATTTCAAATCTTTATCTTCTGTGTTTTGTCTGTGGCCTTTGTTTTAATATCACTTTGCTCTTTTTCATCCTTAGCCAAATCATCATTTTTCTCTTTGATCTAATCCCTTTTTCTTTTTTCTTTTTTTTTTCGCATACTGCTTTTGCTTATATTGTAATAATCTGTCTAAAACAATTCTTTCAGTCCAGAGCTGAGCTTCTTTTTTGATATTTCTTAATGATAGTATTTTAAAATTAATTCAAAACGCATAGCCAATTTCTTTAACAATTAAACATTTTCAAAAAGTACTACAAATATATAAACTACTTACAATATTTCAACAATAAGATATATTTTTATGAAATAAAGACTTCTAAATAATTTATTTTATTTTTTTTTATTAAATAGTATTTAGACTATTTTATATTTCCCTTAAAGACAAAATAAACTTCATATAATCTTATTTCTAGTCTCTATTCCCTGAGGTGATATCCTTATTCATACAGCACAACAATAATCAGTTTTAACATCCATGCGTTGTGATATATTTTAATATTACATATTTGTAATAGTTGGTCATTATTTGGTTTTGTCTTTTTATATAATTACTCATGATATAAGAGAAGTTAGTTTTAAGTACCTTTACAGAGTTCATATTTCAATGCAGCCAAAAGAATAAGAATAATTTATGAACAAAACGAGAGTAATTTTAACAAAATCTAATGAATTCATATATTCCAGTTTTTTTTTTTTACTAATCCTTTTCACAAGAATGTATTTGTTCTTGCCTAAGTTGTTTAAAGTTTTCAAGTTGACTGCTCAAATCATAAAGCTTCAGTTTTATTTTGATTTAACTTGGTTGGCATGGCAGACATTTGCCTGAGCAGAATCATTGCATTTGATTATACTAAAATTGTTTCCATAAAAAAAAGAAATGGAACTTGTTTTACAGGATTTTGTTACACAAAATTTAAACAACATTTTCAGTGTAATTGGTCTACTGTGAATGTACATTCCAATTCTTTCTCTATACAAACAAAAACTGCCAATTTTGTTTATTTTTGTAACTTAGAATATTTAGCACATGACATTAAAGTAAATCAGTTCTGAAACTTGTTTTGTGAAGTGGTTGAAATACAGTTGTGCCTAATAATTGTTTGTTGAGGTCTAGATGTGAATAATTTTGTAGGATGCAATTGGGAAACTAATCAGAGCATCAACTAGTTTGGAGGATTTGAGGGACCGATTTGCTCGTAAGGTAAGACAAATGTCTTTTGTGAGTAGATTTGGTCTGCAGAATTTTGATTACTCATACGTTGGTTGATTAATACTCATTTGTGTCTTATTTGTTCCTCAGTTATTGCCTTTGTTCTCCTAAATTTACTTGTTAATTTTTGGCTTAGTTTCATCCTACTTGACAATTTAACAAATTCTCTATTTTGTCAGTATGAAACTGACACACCACATTTGGCTGTAGTAGATTTTTTTCCCCTTCATAACTGTTTTTGGACTGTTTATCATGATTCATTTTTGTGCTCCATTTCTTATAGATCCTAAATATTGAAGATGTTTTACAATTGGCTTGTTGGAGAGAATTTTTTATTTTTAATTTAAAAAAAAATGCAATCATCATAATTTTTATTCAATATTACATTGTTGCAATATTTTAACATTTTGTAAAAATTCATAATGTATTATTTAGTACTTTCTCTTACTGTTCTAGACTTTTCTATGCAGGATTTATTCTATCAAATTTAAAAATAAAAAAAATTATTCATGAATCTAGAAAAAAAAATATTTGCATTGAATGCAACCCCTACAAATGTTAAATAATCTATAAACTGAGAAATCTATGCATTTGAATTTTTGTTCATGTTTAATGATAACCTCAAAATTATTTAAATGATCAGCCTTGAAGCTCAAACTCTTCTGTCTTGAACTCTGGGTAATCTCTATCTACTCTCACCTTTAACATCTCATCATTAAAATCTTTCTATTCATTCTGTTGTGATAATAATTAGAAAGTGGTTGATATTTCAACAACATCTATCTCCTCAATACTGCATCATGTTTTTTCTCTTTTATTTTTGTTTCTGACAATCAACAATAGTGCATGCCTAATTGACTTTTAATAACCTACATTAGCACTGAGACACCACTGACAAATATTGTTACATGCATCTAATTAGCAGTTTCACTTTTATATTTGTATATAATAATTTATATTGGGCTATTTTTTATTATTTTTATTTTTTATAACAAATTGGCATTATTTTATTTAAGCTTGTTTGGTTACTAAACAAATTAATTTTTCAATCCCTGGTTATGTCTGCCATAATTAAACAAAATTTCAAATATTGGTTAAAATGAAAACTTCTGGATTAATTTCTCAGATGCTTAATGGATTTGCAGTCAGTATATAACCTGTTGAGTTGCTAACTAGATATCAAGGTGATTATCTATTCAGTTACAAAACAAGATTAGTAATGGATAGATTGTCTGCTGTTAAGTATTTGGGTGAATATGATTTTTAAGATTGGTCATTCTGGACAGTAACTAAATAAAATTAGTAAAAAAAAACAAAAACAAAAAAAAAACATGATTCTTTTGAAGATTTTTCCTTTGATTATTGGAATTATCATATGATGAATCTTGTTAAAAAAATTGCCTTGAAGATTTTGCAGACAAACTTTTGTCACTTTTATGTCTTCTACTTAAATCTTCAATCAATTCAAGGTTTCATACAAATTTCTAGCTGGATTATTATTACACAATTATAAGAGCCTTGAATTGTATGAAAGAACCTT